CTCCTGACCTCCATCCCTAAGCCCTCCCAATAGACCTTGTTCCATCGGGATGATTGGAAGATGTCCCTGAGCCCATTCTCCCGGGGACTCTTGAACCTCTCCCAGGGAAACCTCTGCATCTTGCATCCATCTGACACTCCTCAAATTGTCCTGACAGCTTTGGAGAGCTGGGTGCCCTCAGGCTCATTTGAGGCTCCCAAAGTTTTCTGGCTAACCACATTACCTACCCAGTACCACTTCCAGCCCGTGTGATACCTCTGGGGAAGGAGCATCCCCAGACTCACTTGACAGTCTTGAAACCCAAATCCTGCTGTTCCCCTGAACCACACCAGTTTTCCAAAAGGGATGTGCTGTGAACCACCATTCATTCTGATACTGCCTTGAACCGGGATCCATAAAGTCGCTTGATGGTCTTGGTATCCCAAGGAGAACCCATACCTGTCAAAACTCTAGTAATACCCCACTAGGAATGAATGCCCCAAACAGATATGTGTCGTGGACTTCCCTAATGGGACAAGTACACCATGAAATGGCCAATTGCCTGGTCAAGCAATATCCTCCCAATACCCCCTCCACCAGAGCTCTGGTACTTCCACAAGTGCCCTCTGAACGCTCCCAAGTATCCCCAAGAAAACTGACCCCCTTACACTCTCTAGGGAACTTACACCCTGGAATCTGAGTCCCTGAATTGAGACCCATTCAAAAACTTCCATCTCCTCCTGGTAACTCCCTTAGACCAATCTCTTCAGCAAAGAGAGACCTTTATACCAATCCAGACCACTCTTTGGGATCCAACATGGCAAAAGTTTCTCAAGGGATGGCAAACCCTGTTGCATTTTGCTCTTCCCATATCTACTCCCTTAGACCAATCTCTTCAGCAAAGAGAGACCTTTATACCAACCCAGACCACCCTTTGGGATACAATATGGCAAAAGTTTCTCAACTTTGCATTTTGTTCTTCCCATATCACCCACCAGAGCCTCTTATCTTCTGGGGCACGGCCATTGTGAGTACTTGATGTTCCAGGGGAAATGCTGAAGCTTCTGCAGTTGTCATTTCTGTAATTCTTGATTGCTTTGCAAGTCAGGGGTGGAGGAACCTCTGAGGGATCTTAACCACATTGATGGAATCTAACTCTCCCTTAGGAAGATATCACTGTATGTTTCTCATACCAGTGGTGTAAGTGGTAATATCTGCTTGGTAGATGTGCTCATGACATGGAATGTGTTCTGATATGCTCCAAGTCATCCTGGATGCATTTATAGGAACCCATTTTCCTCTATTTTCCTAAGCAGGACCCCTTATTATCCTTATTCTGCTTGTTTTTCCATTAGAGATACCCAAGGCTAAATTCTCACTGTACCAGTAAGAGTAAAAACTCCTACTGGCACTTTCTGAAATGGTCTAACTATTTTAAATCAGCAACAGCTGAGTTCTTCAACAGTAAGTGAAGTCATTACTCATAAAAACACTCTTACTCATGCAGTTAAAAAGGTTATTCAATGTTAGTTTCAGCTTAATAATATTTTCCTCAATATAATTTATAACTTCTCTAAAATTTGCAATGCAAATCTCTACCTCTCACAAAATATTTCCTCTATCAAAAAACTCTTGCCTGCTCTAGTCATGTGGATGCTTTTACTGACATCAGTGGGGCGGTGTGTGCAAAACACCTGCAGGATTTAACAGAATGGTTGTTATTTCAGAGTAAGGTGGAAAGTTGGAATGTTAATTAATGTTTTTTTAAGGAGATCTGGGCTCCAGAAACAGCTTTGCAATGTAACTCAGGATGAATTTGAGCAAATGGTGCAATCTGGAAAATGTGATACTTATTTTCCAGGTGAACCCTGCAACACACTCATGAAAACCCCTGCGTCTAAAGGAGGTGGCAGTTACTGGTTAGCACTCGAGTGGCAGCGGAATAAAAACACAGGGAGGGGAAATGGCCTTTGCATGAAGTCTTACAGACTTTGCAAAAAGAGGGGCTTTGTTCCGTGGCATTTCTGCAGATACGGACTGGAAGCGAGCGAGATTAGGCGTTTACATTCTGGGCTTTCCCTCTTACCTGCGCGTTAGTCACCCGATATCGTGGGCTGTAGTCTTGCATTTATGCTCACTTGCATGCACCTATTGACCCTGGAGTCTTATGAATTTATGAGGTGTTTTCTTCAGGCAACGGTGGATCCTTAAAACCCTGTGCACTGTAACGATGTTACCCAATTTGAAGGCAAACTTCCTGATTTTCCTTGAATACTTTTTTTCCCACAGCTTTCCCCTGGCGTTTATTTAGCAGAGGAAATGGCAATTCTGTGGCAAGGCTAATGTTTATAAAATACGCTGTTAACATTTCTTCGGCAAACTGTACCTAGTTTTCACCTGAGCCTGTTTCCCCAACTGCTCTGTCCACAGCACCGCAAGGTCCAGAACACCCGTTTAAATAGAAAATAGGCAATTTTATGAAGTGCAAGTGGAGCCTTGAAGGTATAAATAAGATTAGAGGCGTAGCCAGGGGGCTGAGGGAGGGCAGGGGAGAAGGAGAAGTTGTTCAGCTGCTTGACTGCAAGTTTGGGGCTGAAAAGGAGATTCTTCTTGGTGGGTTGCAGTGGTTGAGGAATGAACGCTGCTTTTTCCTACAGCACAGAACCAGAGCAGCTCACCTACATGAAAAGATCCTTTTTCTGCTAACAGCTCATTCCATCCTCCTCTCCTTGAAGTGGAAAAATATTTGAAACCACAGGAACCAAAGCCTGTTCCTTCACTATAAATGCCTATAATTCTGTGCTACTTGGCAAAACTCAAAACTCAGGGGTTTTATCATCAGGGACTCACAATTTCTTTTACTTCCTCTGAAACATTAAGTGCAGGAAGATCAGTGGGACCAGCCAGGAATACTTTATTTCAAATGCTTTTAGGATTGAAGAGTGAGGTACTGGATGTTATGGACTGTACAGCATGTTGAGCATCCTGGTGTAACTTTAGTCTTCTCCTCATTATTCAGTAGTGAAGAACAGGCCTGGACCTCAATAAACAAATCTTGTGCCATCTGGGTCATTATTTAGCATGAAATATGGTCGGCAGCTGCCATGAAGTGGATGGGATAGAGAGGATAGTGGATAGGATAGTGGTTAGATAGGTCAGAATCAAGATTAAACCAACCCAGCAAATAATGACAAGTAAATACTTTATCTAACATTATACCGTGCTCATATGCAGAGATTCCTTGTCATCAAGCTTCTCGTTAATCTGCTACAGGATTTTATGCTGTTACTGCCATTTTTTAATGTGTGGACCCTTACCTATACTGTGGAGAGGGATGGTAGAACCCCCAATGTACATAGGTGCATTTCAAAATTGCAGTTCTGAGTACGTGACGCACCTTGATTTTATCCAGTAAGGAAAATCCTATGGGTATTATCTACTGTGACACAGAGCAGGGAACAAAGAGTTTGAGAGATGAATGCTAAGGCAAATAAAGTGCTGTTATCCCATTATGGGCACAGAGAATTATGGCTATAGAGAAATAAAGTGATTTAAGCCAGGACTACCAAGGGGTGTGAGCCAATGCTAGGGTTTGAGTTCACTCCAATGCTTTATTCCTGATTGTTTTTTCAGTCTTCACGGTCTAACTGTAAAATCTAATTTTACATAACTGCTCCAGTAGATTATAGTCAAATGCTGTGGGGGGCATTGTGGGTATTAGATTTTTTTTTGCTGCTTTTACTCTGTTTTGAGTATCAATATCTAGTGGGAGCATACAGCGTTTTAACAGCTGCATTTCTTTCCACAGAAAACATCTTTTCATCGCCCTCAGACACTGGACTACAGAAATGGTTGTGCCTTTTTTCGGCTGCCAAAAGTGGGGATAGGTGGGGAGCAGCTTTATGTGAATCAGCTCTCCGAATCTGAATTAGATGAATTATCCAGCATAAGACCCACGCTGACCTATGGGCAAGCCAAGCGGGCTCCGCCTTCAGACTTCATTCCAGCATATGTGGTTTTTGACAAAAAGGTATAAAGCAGCTTATTCCAGGGATATCGCTGGCCAAGCTCAGAGACATAAACAGTTAGCTCAAGGGTTCATGGGACAGTGTACAACAGTTTTCAGATGCCACAGCCCTTAGTCAGAGACAGCTGAACCCCAGTCTGAAAGAGGCTTTCTTTGCTTAGGAGGAGGATTATAATACATAAACGATGTAAGACATTCCCCACAAGCTACGCCAGAGCATTTCCAGCAGGAATTTCTGATTAACTCTGAAAAGCTTCAATTTATAACCATTGCCCTGCAAACTATACCCTGGCCGCCTGTGTTTCCAAAACTATATCGAGGTTGTAACTGAGCTTAAACTGTGCGAGACACACTGCACTGGAGACCATTCAAGTCTGTGTGGCTGTGGTCTATCTATTTATGCCTGCACTTGTCACCACAGCACGAGTCTGCACGGGCCCATTTGTACTTCTTGCATTACATCTTGGTGACCCCACCAGACTAGGAGGTGTCTGTCTGGAGCAGCCCCGAGTTGACCTTTGGGTTGAAACGTTCCGGCTGCACCGACCACAAGCTGGCAAGGGCGGCCACAGCCCCGGGCAGAGCACGCAGAGAGGGGACCCGAGCACGTGCGGCCTGCAGCCAGCCCTCAAGCCACCATGGGAACACACGTGGTGCGTTAATTACTGCTTCAGAGCTGTTCTCTGAGAGCAACGTAGCTGTAGCCATTGAATCTGTCAGATACTTCTCTGCCCCTTCTTTCAAGCCAGAGTGAGGGCTTTGCTGCTGGGGGAAGTCACAGCCCCTTTCTAAGCAGATAGGAACAAGCTCACTTATCTAGGTGTATGTGCTAGTGTAGGCTGGGTAGGCAAGACCTCACTGGCTATCTGTATCCTCTTAGGGGCCATGAACGATCTTGGGAGGAATATTCCGTGTATTTCTTCCAAGCACAGGAACTGCAATTGGCTTTTGGCAGGGTGTGCAAGATGCATTTCGCTGTGCCCTGATTTTTCCTCTTGTTTCTCCAGCACTGACTGACTGTTCCAGGCAGTCCTGGGCAGATTTCACATGAGTCATACACATTCTAAAATCCACAGATGTGGGGGAATGCTCTTAACTAACATTAGAGGTTAGCTTAAACACAAATAGCTTTTTTGAACCAGGATCTGCAGAGATGGCAATATTAAAGAAACTCATGCAGGTCAGTGAACTAGGTTGCTGGCAGTGCCAAGCACCTGGTAGCAGGTAAATTATCTGGGGATTAAGGAGGATAAGGAAAAGGGCTGTATTTGTTCCACATGTTTACACTTGCCTCATGCCTACCAAATAAAAGCCACATCTTGATATGAGCCGTTGGTCACAGATTAGACTACAGTTGGTTTTGGTGATTTTGTAGATTACAATTCAGTAAGTTTGCACTGCCAGAGCACACTGCAAATAAAGTAATTGTATTGATAAACTAATCATGGTATTCACGTTTTCTCTCCCTCTCTTTCTCTCTTTGGGATCTTGCCCCTTTGGCAGATTTTGAAGTTTGATGCCTATTTCCAGGAAGATGTTCCTCTCTCTGCAGAAGAGCATTACCGGATCCGTCAAGTGGGTATCTATTACTTTTTGGAAGATGACAGCATGTCTGTCATGGAGCCCGTTGTGCCAAACTCTGGGCTTCCTCAAGGCAAACTTATCAGACGCCAGCGGGTGCCCAAGAACGAGCAGGGGGATCATTACCACTGGAAGGATCTGAATCGGGGCATGAACATCACCATGTACGGCAGGACGTACCGCATAGTTGACTGCGACCCGTTCACACAGGTGTGTTGCTTGTGCAGGGAAGACCTGAAGAATCCCAAGAGTTAGAGATGGCAAGATCCATTAGGATGCAGTCCCCTAGTTTGCATCAGCGTCTTCCACGTTGAGGTTACATGTTATCTGTCGTTTTTCTTTTAATTTTTAAATCTGTAGGGACTTCAAAGGATGATGTGTGATGAGAATGCAGGAATAGCTCAGTATTTTTGCCCCAGTGCTGCTGCAAGTCCATCCTCTGTCTTCAGGACTACTCTGTACAGTATAAATCCTAAACTCATTTCTGTGTGAATAGAATTGGTCTAAGCTCATTTCTATTTGTACAGTAGTTTAACTACTTAGAGTCCTGATGAAATTTAGCAAACAAATAAGAAGGAAATTACTGATCCTAACTCTTCTCCTACTTGGCACTCCTCTGATAAAAATAGGAGAAGCGAATGCAGTCAGTGACCCCAGAACACATCCACTGCCAACCCACAAGGCAGGTCATGGATCAGTGGGCTGAGAATAATGTTATAAATTGACTTTTTTAAAGAGAGCTTTAAAAAGTCACATTTGTAGCACAGTCTATTTCTCTACTGGTAAATGAGATAATAATGATTCTTTATCCCGATAATGCTGTTAGATCTTGGCCCTGGTCAACTTCTTCCAACTATTCTTCCAGGCAATTCTCAGGAACAGTCCAGGAGTTAGAACATTGCAAGGATCATTCCCAGTAGATGAGTTACATGCAGCCTTTCTGTCCTGGAGGCGGAGAGCATTTACTGGCATAGAAGCAGCTTGTTCCTTGCCAGTTGGCCTGAGTGCCCAGGAATGTTTCCAAGCATGTATAACGTATTAGTGTATATGTAGCTGTTGGGAGCATATGGGGCCAGCTCCTCTAATGGAACTGGATTGACTGTTCAAGTCAGTTGACATCTGATGAGGAGCTACTTCTTATGTTAATGTTTGTCACTTGGTGAAAAACATGAAATAAACAACACAGCTCTAGATTTCAAAACCATCAATCTATTTATCATTAACTGGCATCCTTCAGTCCAGAAAATAATGACTATGAAAGTGTGAACCTGCCTTATGAGTCTTTAGGGTGATCTCACATGACCCTTAGAGATGTTTGCACAGCTGCTTCCTGGGCTGAGTGTTTTCATGGACCACTTCCCAAGGCCAAGACAGGGAAGAAGTGCATTGGCTTCAGAGGTTGTTTTGGGTGACTGAGGTGAATACACAAGTAATACCCTAGAGTTAGTTGATGTTTTAAGGGCATCCAAGTTAGTTAGGCTGAAAATTCCTTTATATACAAGATTGCCCTCTCTCTGGTGGGAGGTGTGCTTCCTGGAAGATGAACTGCCACCTCAGACCATGTCCTCCTGGTCCGTGTGGCCTCAATGGGCTTGCTGTGGGTACCACTTTCTTCAAGTGTCTGACGCACTGGGAAGGCTTAGGTCTCTTGCACATTCAGACTGACTATCTCAGTAGTACTGCACTGATTTAATTTTTATTAGTTTACATAAAAGAGACCTACCTGAAATGAATCCCACAATTAAAGATGTCAACACTAGGGTCAAGAAAAACCATGGGCAGGCAAAGTGGAACTTTGAGGACAGGACAGCCTTCAGGAATGAAAGAATGGGATGGGGGAAGGGGCTAAGAATCACCTTAAATAGAACATTTTGGTCATTTTTCTGTTGTATTTATTATTGCAATAGAACTAATACTACTGCAGCTGATGGCCTTTGAAGAATGAACTTGCAATGTCCTGGCAACACTCATCTCAGCCAACCTCTAATCTCTAGTTGCCTCTTAGCTTCAGAACTCATGGCAGCATTAAAACCCCAGATGACCTCCCTAGGTGTTCCTGGAGAGCCAAGGGATTGAACTGAACCCTCCAGAGAAAATGGTTTTTGATCCTTACACAGAACTGCGTCGGATGCCTATGCGCAAGTACATCACCCCGTCAGACTTCGACCAGCTCAAACAGTTCCTGACCTACGACAAGCAGGTGAGTGAGGCAGCAGTAATTACCCATTTACTAGATTAGACTACATGTGTTTTTGGAACAGGAGCCTTGTGGATATCTGCAGGCAGATGCCTTTCCCACCTTCCTCTAAAATATCTTAAGTCCACTCAACAGATTTAATATTTGCCCCTTCCCTGGCTTTAGTAAGAGACAAAATATTGTATCTTCTTGTTGGATTTCATGGATGTGCTGCATCCACTCGTTTCTTCCCCCAAAAGATTGCTTCCTAGCACCAGAGCGAAGCATTTCAGATAGACACACTAATACCACTTGTTTGTTCTGTCCTTATGTACAAATGACTAGCACTATCCTTTCTGCTTCCCCAAGTCTTCTCTTTTTCATCTATCAATGATGTAAAGAACCCTGCTGACTACATCTATAGTAGTAAACAAAACATGAGCAGGACACATCCCAAGTCCTGCTCATACTGTTGAACTGTTAGCACTGTCTGTGGCCAAATATCAGTCAAACAGTTCCTGGTCATCAGCTGGATGTTAACACAGGCCAGGAGATACCAAGTGCATAGTTTGGATATGGTCACCCTATTCTGAGGTGGGGCAGACAGTGTTGCTGTATGGATGCAAACTGGACCATACCCATATGGATTTAGCCATAATGACTCAAGTTTGCCATGGGCCACTCTGTCTGTGACAGCTATTGTGCTGCCTATTTAGGAGCTGTACCTTGAAGAACTGTTCCACCGAGTGCAGCACCCCCAAGGCAATCCCTACCACTTAGGCAGTCCTGAGTTTCTATTAGATTATCATTAGGTGAACATGTTCCTGCAAGACCAACCAGGCGCTGCAGCAGGAGGTGCAGTCTTGGAAGCGCTGCAGTGTGAGGAGTTCAATAGATTCACACTGAAACGTGAGATTTCCACTACACAGAAGTGAGATGAAATCTGTAATGAATATAGTCTCCCCAGGGCAGCCAAGTGCATTCCCCTCTGCCTTTCTCAGCATGAGCATTAAATGGCCACAAACATTCAAATTGAAGATCTTTAGACTTGACTTCTCTATGAGCCAAAACTAGATTAGTTCTTTCTTTGTTCAGTTTCATTTTAGAAGTCAGTCCCCTCAGGACTAATCCTCTGCTCACTCTTGGGAAATTATTTCTGCGGTGCTTTTTAATCATTTTTTTTTCCTCCTTACACTTCCACTTCTAAATTTCTTTTATTTGCACATGTTATTCTCCCTGGCTCTCTCAAGGTAAGGCAGACCACCTCAGCTCTCCAGGCCTTGCTGCTCTTGCAGTGCTGCCTCCAATCCACTGGTTCCAGTGTCTCCAGGGCAGTGTCCGCTCCTGTACCTGGCAGTGCAAGCTTCTGAGATACATGCCCATTTACCAACTTTATTTGGACAGAGCATTAATGTTATTAATTCATGCTTGTTGTCTCTGCCTGGCTTTTCCTCACCTCAGGTCCTGCGTTTCTACGCTGTGTGGGATGACACCAGTAGCATGTTCGGTGAGAAGCGGCCTTACATCATCCATTACTATTTGGCAGATGACACAGTGGAGGTTCGGGAAATCCATGAACTTAATGATGGCAGAGACCCATTCCCAGTGCTAATAAAGCGCCAGCGGCTGCCCAAAACCTTTGTGGACAAGAAAAGTAAGTTTAGACTGGCCAGCATATCTGTTAATGCCAAAGTACTTTGGTGAGTGTCCAGCCACACCAATGGGTGTGGATGCTGGGGCAGAAGGGAATGAGAGGTATATTAAGTCTAGAGAATTTGTGCTGAGAACATGACAAATGTCAGCAGCTTTTTTGCTGAAGAAAAGTTATTTAAATGATTGCTAGAGCCTTTACCTGTTGGAAAACAATGTCAGCAAAGCAGTACCAAGAGTGTATTGGTGTGGCTTATACAGCGTGCTCCTGTATCCCTTTTCACTAGGAAACATTAAATGCTACCTGATTGATTCCTTTTGCTCCCTTGTCCTTAGCGACCTTCCCAAGTTGCGTGCTGGAGATCTCTGATCAGGAGGTCCTTGAATGGTACACAGCCAAGGATTTTGCTGTTGGCAAATCTACCACCCTCCTCGGCCGCCCTTTCTTCGTCTATGACTGCGATGAGTTCACGCGAAACTTCTATCGTGACAAATTTGGCATCACAGACTTCCAGCCAGTGGATGTTAGGAAGAAACCACTTGAGGAAGTGCCTCAGGTACTACAAACAATTTCCCAAGGGAAAGGAAGCAGCATTCTCTGTAAGCTCTTATAGTGTTGTAACATTTTTGCATTATTAAAGAGGTTCAGCTTAAGAAAATGAGCAAGTGATTTGAGCAAGTCATGGCAAAGATGGTTATTATCTATATGAAAATGAAACTCTCCTGGAACAGTCTATTTCTAACACTGTAAAAGGTAAAGCACTTGCTAAGTGATAGAAAACAGTGGTTGCATATACACAAGGGTATTAAACAGAGATAGGGTTTGTTCCCTGACTGGGAAAGGCAAATGGCGCAGCCTGACCACACACCAGTGTCACATTAATGTGGCCACACATTACTAATCTACATTAGTAGATTCTTTCTCATCCTCTAAAACAGGGTTGATTGATAAGTCCAAACTTCCTACTGGGAATAGTCACCAGCCCATGTTACCTCCCAGACTGAACCTAGGTATGGTTTGAAGAACACAAGTTGGTCTAGAGCCTAGATTAAGCTATGAGGGTGATCATATATATAATTGATTTTGGATGCACAGCACTGTGGCTTTGCACTGGTTAGTTTATTGGTATAGCTATAGTCTCTTGGTTCACATCAATTATCTATCTTTCTGACTTTCGTTTTGTTTTCTTTTACCCTTTTAAATATTTATATAAGTAAGGTCTCAGACATATATACAGGTTAGCAATGTCCCTATTGCACAGGACATCACAGCTGTTGCTACCTGGTGTCAGAAGAGTTATTTCCAAAAAGAAGGTTTCCAATAAGCTACCTTGGACATTGCCTCTTCCTTCGTTTCAACAACTGCTGCTTGGTATCTCCTCTGGATGCAGGTAATTCCTCCCTACAATGGTTTTGGCTTCCTTGAAGACTCCCTTCAGAACTGCTTTTCTCTGCTTCCAAAGCCTCCCCGGAAAGATGTTATTAAGATGCTGGAGAACGACCACAAGGTGCTGCGATATCAGGTGGCTCTGGTAAGTGCTCTCCTTGATAGTACAGTACCAGCTTAAGTTGTAAAAGCAAAAGGATGTGAGGAACACGTTGTTCATGCAAGACTGCTAGGAAATTCTCCTCTGATGCACTTGGGTGATTGTGTACTTGCTATGGCAGTTATTGGCCTGCAAAAGTAGAAGAAAACAGGGCCAGAAAGAACAAAATAGACATGCTACAAAACCGCAGCCAATTATGGAAAAACTCCCACTGACATCAGCACATGACAGGCGGCCCTGATTGAAACAGCACTGCAGCTGGGCTCTGTGCCTCTGCCTGCAAGTGTCAGCTTGCTGCCCCTGCACTGCTGGCTCCCAGCACCAACAAGGGGCTGTGCAAGCAGAGCAGACAAGAACCAGAGCAGAAGTCGTCTGACAGGGGCAGCCCACGGTGCTTTCCACCCCAGGCCCTGCTCTTTGTGCCAGCTTTGCAGTGAGTTTATGCAAGAAACCCCTGGCATGTCTAGCAGTGGCGATGGCATTTCCTGTGCCGCCTGGGGCCTGCCCTCTCCGATACCCGGGGTGAATAAGGACTGATTTCTTTTCCCTATTGTGCAGGAGTTCCTGAAGGGCAGAGCTGATGAGTTCAGATCAACTGAATTTTCATATAAGCAAGTAAACCATTGGTGTGTCAGGGGAGTGTCTTCCTGTGACTAAGAGCTGGAAGCTGCACCAGCCTCTCCCAGAGACCCATTATAAGGAAAAATATAGCTCCAGTACTAAAATTTACAGGCAGTCTTCCACTGTGTGACGAATCACCCCATATAAGATATTCCTTTTTCTTGCATTACTCATTCTGTGGAAACACTGAATACACTGCGTCACTGCAGCCCAGATTCTGCTCCTGTTAGCCTGACTAGAACAAGTAACCTTTGAAATCCAGATAGTTAATGCTGTCTAGGGCTTTGCTATTCCATGCTAGCATATCTGCTGCTTTTGCATATATCAAATACGATCTATAGTTACCAATAAAAAAAAAAGCATCATTTCTGGGCTTATGACTGTGTTACAAGGTACTGCTAAGCACCCCAGGAATGAGAAAGTCAGTTCAAATATTTATTTCCAAAGCTACTATCTTTCCTTTAGGAATCACCAAACCCTGAGGACAGAAAGAGACGTTTCATCCTCTCTTATTTCTTGTCAAATGACATGATCAGCATTTATGAACCCCCGGTCCGCAACTCTGGTATCATTGGAGGCAAATACCTAGGCAAGACTCGAGTCCCCAAACCGGGCTCCACCACTGAGAATGCCACATACTATGAGCCCTCTGACCTCACCATTGGTTCCACGCTTGAAGGTAAGATCCAATCTGGTTTGATAGTGCTCTTGGAGCATTTGTTTTCAGTGTCTGATCTATGTTATTTATTGCACAGTGTGTATCCCATCCTCCACTTGAGAGATCTCTTCTTTCTGAGCCTCACCATATTTTAATTTCTGCATCACCAGATGCTGTAAACTGATATAACTCCGTTATTATCAGACAGTGTTTGGGCATTAGGCGTAATCAAGAAAAGAGCAATGTTCTTATGTGTTCACATTTTTGAGACCTGCCAGGAGTCACTAAGTTCAACCTGTGCCAGATGACTTCTAGTAGCAAAGACCATAAATCTGTTCTGGAAGGAAGATAAATGTAGTTCTGAAATGCTAGAAACACACCCATGCTAGCAACATTCCCTGTAGCCTGAAGCATGGGAGTCTCCTCTCAGCAGAGACTTTTTGCAGCAAAGCTCCCTTTGATCCAGTGGTACCTTTTCTGTTTTAAAGACTGAAACAAACAGTAGCCATCTACTGAGCCCTGACCCCATCTGCACGGGAGAAACCACACTGTCTTCTAGGTGGTAAAGTCACTTCCCGAGACAGAGAGCCAGTTAACACTTCTTGCTTCCTTGCCTCTTCTGCAGTGTTTGGCCACAGGTTTATTATCACCGACGCAGATGAATACGTGCTCAATTATATGGAGAGCAACGCAGAGAGCTTCCCTGCAGCAACGCTGCAGTCCCTGAGGGATCATTTTCGCCCACGGCAGGTGGTGAAGGACACTGCCATAAGGTAGGCTTCGAAGGATGGGGTAGTGAAGCTAAATGGGACTTGGGGAGTGATTATTGAGCTCCAAGAGCCTGTGTCTGAACACAAACAGAGGAACCAGTTGCATAGAACATAGTGCCTTGGCAGTCACTGGCCTGAAACCCTATGGGACAGCTCTGCCACAGCAGCTGAGATACCTCCGTGTGGATGTAGTCACCTTTTTTTTTTTTTTTCCTAAGGACAGCAGTATCTGTAACAGGTGCTGCTAACAGGATCTACATGAGCCACCAGCTGCAGGGAAGCTAGGAGGAGGGTTGGTGGTGTGTATTTTTCATTTGCTCCAAGTCTGCTTATCAGCATGTGAGAGGCAAGACCACATCCTCTTTTCAAGCATTCTGTCTGAATATATGTTAGATGACCCTGCAATGACCCTATAACCTCACCAACACACTTCAGAGTCGGTCAGTATCAGAGCAGTGCAGAGGCTCAGACTGGAGCTGGAGTTACATACATTTGCTGCCACTTGTATGAAGCACACAGGGATGTCCTCCTTTCCCCAAAGCACTTACAGACAAGAGGGAGTATCATGCAGAGGGAGAATAGTTTATCTGCTGTCCCAAAGATCAAGCCTGAGCTTCATTTCTAGGTCCATGCTGAGATGGGCTTTTCATTCAGAGCACAGCACCCCAGAGCCTGCTTTGTATTCAGAGATACAGTCTGGCCATAGTAGACTGCCAGCACACAACCTCACAGTAGGGTTGCCACAAATAATTTTCACAGCCAGTCCCATTCTGCCTTTCTTCTACAGTGACAGCCCTGTACCAGAGACCAGCAAACAGGAATTGGATGAGTTAATAGTGCAGGTTCAGGAAGAGATGAAGCTCCATAACTACCTGAACAACAGGAACATTCAGGAAGAATTTCTTCAGCATGATAAGGATGGCTCTGGAATCTTGGACAAAGGAGAATTTTTAGCCCTTTGCAACAGCTTGAATGTGCCGACCAGCAATGTCCTGGTTAACAAGGTGAGAAGGAAGTGGGCACTGTGTATATTAAATTCCCCTCCTGCAGTTCTCCCAAAAGAGCTTTTTTACAAACCAACCCTAGCCCAGCTGGACTGACAACTGTTCCACCCTACAAAGGGGAATGGCTTCAAAAAAAGGGCAAACTCCACTTCAGAAGGTCTCTGGGCTTTTGGACTGAGCCCTCTTTGTAAAGAGGTGCCCTCTACAAAAAGGGTGGAAATTTAACCCAGGTGCCCTGTACCTCAGGCAAGCAGCCCAGTTACTGGTGTCACTGTTAGGTGGAGCCTGAAAATGCTTGGTGGGTCAGGTCTGAGACACAAGATAAGCAGAACAAGAGGTTCTTAATCAGATGGAGATTGGGCATAGACTGCATAGAACTACTGAGTGCCTGTTGTGACTTAGGCAGGCCTAGACATGAGTAGGTAACACTGAGGTACTACAGGAACCAGCCTGATGACAACTTAAGACTCATTCCAGATTTAACAGCAAATGAGTTGAAGATTTGAGAAATAAGTTTTGTACTTTAACTAAAAAGAAAAAATAAAAATAAATAAAAAAAGAAAACAGAAGCATAACCGTTAGTAACTCTTTTTCCTTCTGTGGCTGGCAACCTGATTCTACTGTAGGAAGCCAACCTGTGAGCATATTTTTTTAAATTTTTAGCACTCGAAGGCCAGTGAACCCACAGTTCATGGAACAGCCCAGCTTTCTCTGCTGTCCCTACATCAGGCCAGCCATGTCCACCTGCTTAGCACAACTAAACATAGGCTTGCTGGGTGCTATGAGCAAAAACCTGTGGAGAACAGAAGCTACACAGCAGGAAACGTGAGAAACTGAAAATTCATGCACAAGGGAGGAAGGATCATTTTACAAACATGACTGTCATGCATGGTTTCTCAGTACAAGGTGATATGCTGTAGGTTAGTGTCCAATACAAGCAGACTGACAATCAAAGAAAACTGGAAATGAGGAAGAGCATTTTCCTTATTAAAAACACTTCCTTTGAGCATCAAAGCCATGGTTAGAATGGTGCACAGAAAGTGTATGCCTTTGGTTACACACTGAGCAAAGGCTCTTGACCATCACCCAGGCTACACTGTATTGGAGCTCATAGGAGATTGTGCTGCCCTGAGGAATTTACAGTGCAGTGTCGTGACAATCCTTCCTGCTCCCATTCTGGGAATGGAGATTAAGTGAATTACCCAAGAGCATGTGAGCAATCTGTGACTATTAGGCTTGACCTTCCCCCTGCTTCTGTGTTTGAATCTCAGTCTAGGCCCTAAACACTAAAAGCATCCCTCATTTCCCTTTAAATCATACTAAGAATGTGCCCAGAGACCTCAGAGGTGTGACAGTATTGTAAATTAAACATATGGCAGATAGTTAATTACTGTTTGCATCAGAGAGCAACACAGCTGTCAGTCATATGAGAGCGAGCCTAGTAAATCTGTCTCCAGGCAGCAAGGAAAAGAAGAATCCTTTCAAGGAACTGCAATATTAGACCTTTTCCATCTCCCTGGGTGTCAGAAGGAGATTAGTTATGCAATTAAAGAAACAAAAGCCCTCTTTTCTTCCCCTTAAGAACACAAAGGCTATAGCTCTGTAACACAATGAAGGGTCAGGCACAGATAGCAGAACGGGCTCATTAGTAGGGCTGTCACTGAACCCAATTATCTGTGGCTCCACATTATGCCATGTGCACACACCAAAGTGACACCACTGAACAGTGACTGCTCAGACACGCTGTCCCCATCTCCCTTTTGGCAGAGATTTCTAGGGGTTTCTGAAAGATGTGCTGTGGCCCGTGTCAGTCCATGGCCAAGCTTTCGTTTTGTGGTTCTGTTGCCACTGTTGTGAAATTGAGAAGGAAAGCAGGATTAAATACAACCATTATGGCTCTCCTTGCATAAATTAGTGTCATCTGTAACTGCTCATGACTACCTGTGGTTCAAGACTACTGAGATAGTAGAGCTAGTAGGCTCTTACACACAGAGGAGTAAGACTTTTTTGCTCTATCACACAAGGACTACCCCTGTGTACCTTCCACTAACAGACTTCAGCAATATTTGCAGCTTCTTCCAAGTCTTTATGGTGTGTTTTCTTTTTTCCCCCACAGCTGATTGGCCTATGTTCTGGTGGAGAAAACAAGATAAGCTACCGTGACTTCCTTAGAGCCTTCCCCTCCTGATCTTACCCCAGAAGCTGAAGCAGAAGCAAGACCAGCAAAGACATTCTGAGCAGAGTTTAAGATATCATACTCCAAAAAATTGCTCCAGTTTAACCCCCTCTGCTTCATCCATTTCCCCCCTCCCTTCTTTACTAGAGCCAACTAATCTCACCCTCACTTCAATTTCACTTATTTTTTTAAACCTACCACCAATCTCAACCTCACAGATGCTGTATCTTGAAGTAAAACCCACAGGAAAAAAAACTTCAGAGAACCAAAGCCAGGTTCTCCCACTGACCTCTTTTTTGTTTGTTTGTTTTTGTTTAAAGAAGTACAGCAAAGTTGACAAGAACTAAAGCTCTCTAAAGTATAGTCTTATAAGCATTTTAGCTTTATCCTATACAGTCTAAATGCGCCTTTCATCTTCAAGAAGCAAAGACTGCCATTTTAAGTTATAATTTATATTTCACTAAAGGACTAAAGGCCCTTCCATGACATGATGCATTCAGACTAGCAAGTATGAATATAAGCAAGTCATGCATAGCTGCTGTAAAAGAGTTACTAAGTCTGCTTTAAATAAAAATACCTCTGTGCCTGTAATAGCTAGGGATTAAAAATGAGAAAAAAAACATGTGATTCAGGGTTTACTTAAAATGGAGTGGAGGCCTTAGTGCTTATGTAGCTCATGGAAATAGCATCTTTCTGTAGACAAATACAGGTAGTACAGGTAGTAGCCTAGTATCTTTAACATGAGAGTGGGAGAAAGGTTTTGGTATAGTATCTAAAGGCATTTCACAGAGCCTGTCACTTCACCATAGGTCCAGTGAGTGGACCTAGCAGGCAGCTTAGCAATAAAATTATGACGTTTTCGCTCCCTTTAAAGAGTGAGATTGCTCATCCCTCCATGAAGGTAAACATGTCAACTGGGGTGGGAAGGTTTCTGTCATCTGCATGGTATTTCCCCTGAGCATCTATGAAAGACAGCAGCTGTCACACAGGTTAGAAAACAAAGCCCCTTGGAACAAAATGCTTATTTTAATCAGCTTTACCTTTTGTGCTGTGGATTCCTGCTTCCCCTTAGATAGCTGAGGGTCTTCATAGGACAGCTCCCTCCTGTTTCTTGTTCAGAAAGCACTCATTCCTTCCAGGCCTGTTGATGCTGCTGTTAACTCCAACTGGGAATCACTAAAGCTATCTCTGGTCAACTCAGATTTCAACACATGGCTTGTGTTTGTGTCAGGTGCTCTCCAGGCTGCAGCTGATGAAGACTAACTTCTAAAGGCCACCCTAATCAGTTTTTCCAGAGAGGCCAAGGATTTACAGGTGAGATTATTGGAGCTGTAGGCCATAGACTAGAAAAATCAGAATTTCTTTTCTGTACATGCTGTGAACTGTAACCTAATACTCAACCAAATCGTCGCATGCCCAGGGCCAGCTGCAGAAAGCATGCAATTTATCTCTTCATAAAGTATGCACTTAAACCACATCAGATAAATCACACCCTTCAAATGCCCTTATCTTCCGCTCCCAACTATCAAGGGAGCCAGAGATAACTAACTCAGAAGCAGCTGTCCACTGCCATTTTTCACTGAGAAAAATGAACCCCAAATGGTATATGAGGATTTAACATGCTGCACCAAAGGGAACAGACTAGTCTGGCATGGTGAGGTAGGAGAAAAATATGTAAACCCCATCCCGACCTGCTTCATAAACACATACACAGCTTAGCAGAGTGATAAAGCATCAGTGAACAGCAGCAGTGGAAGAATCTATGCCTTTTATTTGTTTATTTCAGAAAATACTTTTGTTGAGTTTAACACAAAAGTCATTTAACAACAAACATCAAAAAATCCATACAAAAAACTTAAGTGACAGGAAAAAAAAAGAAACAAATGGGATAAAACATCCAAGACTGTTACTTCCCCCCAACCCCTTCCAAAATTAGGAAGTTCACACTAAAGCATAAATATGGAAGAACAGAACAGAATATTCCTTGAGTTCCTTTGCTGAAGCTTGGTCCATGGAGTTAAAAGAGTGTCTGAAGGAAAGCTACAAGCCCCTAACCTAGCTTCTACAACGTCGTTCTTCCCCACTGCTGGAAAAAAAAAAAGAAAGAAAGAAAAAGAAAAAACACACAGCCTAAAGACTCAGAAACATACTTCACAGTTTCATATAAAGCCTGTCAAAAAACCCATCTATGACACACTCATGAAGTTTGCATAAAGACGATGGTCAGACCACTATAATCTCCATCTACCGTTGATGCAAGTCAAGCAAGACTCCGTCTACCAAGACTTCACCTACGGCAAGAGTCAGACGCTGCTTTAAACCCCCATGCACTGCAATGAAGCACATCGACGAGCTTCAAGACTATCTTGCAGGGGGGATGCATCCTAAAACAGTCTTTTTCCCGACCTCGACTCCAACAGAGAAGCCTGACAAAAAAACATTTTTAAATGGCAAGTTAAATGTAGAGGGATATAGAGAGGAACTGGAACTCATCTTCTTTACTAACCCCACATATGATGAACATATGATGAATATGATGAACAAGGAAAAAGAATCCAGAAAAAGAATGCAACTGTAATGCCCCATTATTTAAGAATCACTGAAAAATTATATGTGAAATGCTACATCTGTTCTCCCTCTACCCCTTTCTCTTCCCAAGCCCATTCCCTACCATGACAGGAAGGGAAAAATGGTACTTCAAAGATTTTCTAGGATAGGGGCAGGAAAACACTATGCTTCACACTGAAGAAATCACAGACTACTTGATTCCTGGCCTTCTCAGGTTGGACAACAGACTACAGAAGCAGTCACAAGCCCATCGGAAGGGCGTTGAGCAAGCAATAGTGTTATACAAAAAGCATGGACTTGCAGTTTTGCATAGTCTCTAACACTTTCCACCCTGGGGTGGACAGGAGCTCCTCTTTGTTTTTTTTTTTTAATTTTTTTTTTATTTTATTTTTACAAAAGATGAAGGGCTTGACAGGATGGGGTATGAAAAGAGCATTCACTTGAGAGAAGTGGTCTCTCAGCATCTTTGTATGCAGAATGGTCAAGGAAAGTCTCACCATCAGGGACTTACAGATAAAAAATACACACAAACACACACACATATATATATATAAAGCTCTTTGGGCTGGAGAGAAGCCTTGGTCTGCTGAGAAAAGCCATGACTGTAGAACCAGTTTCTGCAAGTTGCAGCCAGAGGATGGTGTAAGACAAACACAAAAGCAGCCTGTGGTAGCCCCCCCGACTGACAGGGGACTGCAGACCTCTGGAATGACAGTTGATAGTACATTACAGCAAAGGCTTAGCACAAAAAAAAAAACAACAAAAAAACAACCCTCGGGACCATACTGCAGTTGAGCACAGTGGAAGAAGAAAGGGGATTTCAGAGGACTAAAGACATGGGAGAGCAACCCCCTCATCCTACTGGATAAAGAAAGAAAATATGGAGATGCTTCCAAAGCAAACTGTCCCTTTTTCTGGTATCGCTATCCACAAAAAAAAAAAAAAAAAAAAAAAACACGTAAATGTAGCATATGTCATACATATGTTGTACAAAGGGAGGGCGTATAGCTATTGGTATACTACACAGATCAAGAGTACAAGAGACTACATGGCAACATAAGGCACTTGGGATACAAAACCTAGTTAGCTACTTTATGAAGACGCAGGATTGTGCAAGTGGAAAAGCTGCCTGAAGCTAAGCAGGCAGGAAGAAGAATTATTCAGCAGCCGTTTTTTGGGATTGTTTGCGTGTCACCTGTTAACACGGAGTCAAAACCTCAGCTGGTGCAAGGCACCTGCTCTGTAGAAAGGACCAGCTAAGGCTATGGAGAGGTGACAGCCAGCAGTCGCTTTGGAGGCCACATGGCAGTGGATGGCTTGGAAGGGGAGGCAGGCAGCAGAATGGAAGGACCTTTCGCATGAGGCCTTTTCTATGTCCTCCCTAACATAAAGCTCTTTTCCTCTCCTATCCTGTTGCACTGTAGTCTGCAATCGCCGTTCAAGCCAGAAGTTATATTATCTGTCTGGCAACGACTCAGAGGAGCAATTAGAAGGTACTGCCAGAGATCCGCCCCAAAATTCCTTTCTTTGCTTCCCCTAAAAACAGGGGAACCCCTCTCTCCAGTTGCTGCTGACATCCTGTTCGACATTTGGTCATGAGGAATAGGTGGGAATTTGTCCAACTGTACTCAAGTTATTGCATTATTGTCTCTGTCTTGTGCCCAGCATTAGCTGTGGCTCAACAAGGAGAGAGGAAGAGAGAGAGGGCAAATACACCGATAGAAGAAAAGTCTTATCTCTAAGAATGTCAGAAAAATCAATCATCACCCATTCCTCAAAGCATGGCACTTTGATCTGAATGATGACACTGCTCCAGCCTCACACACAAGACAAGAATCACGCTCAGAGACAGCCAAAGAGTTCAACTGAGCAAAGGGCTGAGCAAGGAGCACACTAAGAGATCACACAAAAAACTCACCTGCAAGAAAGGCAGGCTTCAAACCCAGCCTGCATACCAAGGAGTGCTCTTGGTCTCCTTGACCCCATGCAGCCTCTACTCAACCAGCCAAAAGGACGCACTGGTCATCTGCTCCCGCCACAGCGAAGCAGCACGAAAGCTACCGCTGGCTTTGCTGCACAAGAGGCACCAACAGCAAAGCCCAGCTACAGAAACTCCCCCGGAGGAGAGCTGCGGGGTGAGAGGTGCACATCTACTGCGCATCTGCCAAATTTGGACTGGTGCACGGCACCAAAAAGAGGCCCACTGCTCCGTGAGCTGGCACTGACGCATGAAACGCAGGGCAGGAGATGCTGTTCTCCAGCAAAGGGGCAGCAGGGGACCCAGCTGGTTCCCATGAACCTCCTGCCAACATGTAGAGATGGCAACAGGCAGGAGCAAGAGGGAAAAGTGGTCTGTAGGAACAGATGGCCTCTGAGGTAGATATGGGACAACTCCACCTGCCAACAGCTATGTGTCACAGGTCAGGCCTTTCCTAATATACAAGCTACTTTTTGCAGCCCCTGGCTTCCATTTCCTTCCCTATCATCTCATTCACAGCTCAGAAAGGGATGAAGGGGCTGGGTTTTTGGAAGAAACCCTGCATTTGATAGCACCTTGAGTGGATACAAGCTGTGTATCCCTTTGGAAACAAAGAAAGGAGCTAATGGCTGCAGATGGCACAGCTGGACTGGTATGGTAGGGATGAGGAAGGCTAAAGTAATTACGTGTCCCATTAATGCAAAAGCCTTCGCAGTAGCCAGTTTGCTCATCTGGACATGGTTAAAGAGCCATGGTTAAAGAGCCAAGAACATCAGGTCCATAAGATACACTCAAGTAAGCAAAGGGCCTGGTCTGAAGGGACCCAGGCCAGTAGACAAATATGCTCATAGACTTGGGCAGGACACAAGACTTCACACACCCTGGACCTGAGGATGCAACTGCTCCCATGAGAAGGCACTAAAGAGTAGCAAAGCATGAAGCCCAGCTCTCAGTACTGGGAGGTCCAGGACAGCTATAGGGGCAGCTCACACCCTGCAGCCAAGAAGATAAGAGGAACCAGCTGTACCAGGATAGATAAGGCAAGTGAAGACTAGGATGGGGATCCTGTAAGAGGAGAGAACTTTTCTCCTTTCTCTGCGGAACAGTTCTCTGAAATTAGCCAAAATCAGGGCTCGGAAAAAAACTATCCAAAGTTCACTGTGAAATGAGACTCCTCCCCTGGATCCTGACACATATTTGCAGCATCACCATCCTGCAGCTCTTGCCAAGTCCTCAATGGATGTGTCCCTGGAGAGGTGACCATCACCCAAGAACAGCCCTGAGCCTAATGGTCACAGCCATAACCGAGCACAGAGCCCCACCACCTTCTTCCAGGTGTCTGTTCTCATCCCAGACACGCAGCGCCTTCAGGCTGCCGTGTCCTTGAACCCCTGGGAGTAGCACAAAGGGAGGGGAGAAACACGCTGTAGACAAGAACAAAAGGATTGTTTGGAACCATCTATGATGCATTCGTAAAAAAAATAACCAAAAACAAACACTAAAATAGAAAAAAAATTGCACACCGACTTACAGTGAAACAAAGGAAGACAAAAACAGGAGGTCTGTAACACGCTCCTAGATAAAGAGGAGGGAGTAGGGGAAAGGGACCTTTTTGGTTTTATTGCAAATGGTTCAAGAGAGCAGGAAAGGAAGGGAGGGGAGTGAGAGACACCTTGTGAAGATGACAGGTCTCCAAACCACTCAGGATGACTCTCATGTGGACAGGGAAGGAGGGGCTGGTTCTCAGTCCTAGTAACTTGTCCTCCTTCCTGATAGACAAGCCTCTGCTTCTATGGCGATTTGAGCTTCTTGGTGCGCGGTGATGTCCCGTTCTCAGCTTTCACCACTCCGTTTTCATGGTAACCTGGGGATGGGACAGAAGGACAATGGGATGTCCCACATCACCCTGTGTGGGCCAAAACGCTGCCCAGGCTTGAAGCAAAAAGTTAAAACTCACATGGCCTTAGCTTCATTGTGGTAGCCCATAAACATGGGGAGAAATACTATGATGTTGGAGTCACAGCCCTCGGGACACAACCCTACTAAGGATCTCCCAGGCTCAGCAAGGAGCATCAGGAAGCATCATCCCTCCAGCACTGCCTCCACAGCCTGGCCAAGGTGACATTGAGGACACCATGGTGCAACATAACACCACCCCATCCCAACCCTCATCACCCCTGAAACAGCCTCCTGTCTGCAGCACTCACCCGAGTCCCTCTTGAGAGGCTTGGCTTGCTGCTTGGCACCGCTGGCGGCCGCGGCGGCTCGCTTCCTGGCGCTCTGCTCGTTCCAGTACTCCCTCCAGCGCCGCAGCTGGAAGTGGATGAAGCGCCACATCACCGAGGCCTGGAAGAGGCACACCAACAGCAGCACACTCATTCTGGCGGGGGCGGAGAAGAGGCAGGCTGAGATTCAGAGGAACGAGGCCGCCACGAACCCAGCCTGGAGGAAGCAAGAGGTCTGCTCCCAAAACCCAGCGGGGCCAGTGCGCGAGGTCCCCTCAACCCCTACAAGATGCCTGCATGGCCACCTGGGCATCAGCTGCCTGAGAAAGAGACCCTTTCAGTTCTGGCAATGCCCTGCATCCCAATTCAAGATAAATCTGTGTTTCTTTCCTGTGTAAGAGACCCACATACATAACAGGACTGACTGGTGAATGAAGCCAGTTGAGTAATAGAGCTGGTCCAGATTTTTGTGCCAGCAGAAAATGAAGCCTCCATCTACTCAACATCTCTGCTTTCTGCTATGCCCTGAACTCAGGACAAGTGTTCCCTTTTTTCTACTCACCATGAAGTTCTCAGATGACATAGGGCTGAAATGGACTAAGTGGCCCATGGCTGCAGTATAGAAATGTATTGCCTTTACAGCATAATCACCTAGAAGCTGGATATGGTTGGAAGGGAGCTAGGAAAAGCTTCCAAACTTTCAAGCTTGACACTAACCCATGGCTCCTAAAAGCTTGGGAATGACTGAATGGACCCAGAACACCTGCCCTAAAGACTTCTGAACTGAACCCTCGCGAAGAAAGGCTCCCAGTCTTGATGAATGGACTGCAAGCCATGGAGAACTGACCCTATCCCCTGATTCCCATGCTTCCAAGTGGAAGGAAATTTTTTTTACATTGACTGCATCCCTGTGAGTGCAGTTAAGGGTAGAAGAAGAAGGGCCTGTAGGTCTTTCTCTAAGATACCTGCTTCAACTCATCCTTTATAATTTGTCACTTGACTCAGAAAAACTTGTTTGTTGGCTTTTCCCCACTACCACGGCTCAGTAGCCTTCACTCTTCCTTGCTCCCTCCCTGCCATTGCAGCTTGCTAAGATCTTCCTTAGAGGCAGCCCAAGGAGTTCCAGATCCCTGTTGGGGTTTCCAAACTCAGCAAAACTAAGCAAGGGAAAAAAAAAAAAAAAAACACCAAGGAATTTAAATGAGAGCCTTCACAGCTCAGTTCTGCCTCAGTGTCTTCCCCATCGCATAAGTGTACTTGAAAGCATATGATGCAAAGGCAGCCTCCTCCACCTCCACATATGGTAGAGGACATGACAGCCCCTTACCTGAAGAGGACATTATTGAAGAGGAAGCTGAAGAAGTTCCCTCTCTCAGGGTCGAGGGCCTGGTTCTCCACCCGAGGCAGCCCAAAGCCAATGACCAGAATGTAGAGGGTGAGGGTGAAGAGCCTGGTGACCACGAACACAACAGCCCAGACATTGAACCTGTGAGAAGACAGACAGAGATGTTGACAGGGCCTAGCATCAGCATCCCAAGGTGCAGCCAGTTTAGTGACAGATGTCCTGCCAGAGGAGGCCACAGGGTGATAAAAGGCCTCTGCCAGGTCATGACCAAACATCATTCTCAGCAGAGGTTCACATCAGCAGTGTTCATCCTCTAGTGCTTCAGTGGAGGTAAGGAGAGCGTATTAGCTGCCAAGCAGCAAGTTTCTGCTCAGCATTCTGCCCATTCTTTTGGGACCCAGTTTTGTGACATCTTTGCCCTTAGTGGTACCTTGTCCATGCAGAAAAAACAGCCAGCCTGTCTATCTAATAATCTTTGACATAAGCAGAGCA